CCAAGGTAGGTACTTACCTCAAGGTTGGTAGGTAAGGGAAGCAGGGTTTATGTATTCGAGACCTTCTACGAGGTCTGTCAGAATAGAGCAATAGCCTCACTATAGCGATATAACTATATCCCGCATTGCACGGTACAGTCCGTGCTCTACGTGACCACCGAATGGCGAATGCCGTACAGTGCTGTATATGATAGGCCATGCACAGGGCGCGGCAGAAGCTCTAGCGTCGTGATCATTCCATGTCGGCTATTCCATACCTACTTATAGATGTATTCGTCTTCTTCATCTTCCACTAGCAGAGGTCTTACCTTGGATTTCGTTTGACGAGAATGAATGCCTTGCGATATTGAAACATCTCAGAGTCATAAGCTAGACCCCGCGTGTCCCTGAGCATGCCTGCCTACCTTACCTCCCTAAGGTAGGTACCTAGGTAGGTACCTAGGTAGGCAGGCAGGCATGCAAACACGATATTCTGAGTTGATGCTGACTAACTAGGCTGCATTCACCCAAACGACGTGGGCACGGGCACGTGGCCAGGGTGCAGCGGTTCGGGCAGGCGTCAGGCGTCAGGCGACAGGCGACAGACGCCAAGCGACAGGCTGCGTGCGACAGGCTGCGACAGGCGAGCCAGGTACCATGTACCTCGTCCGGCCTTGCCTCTCGTTCGGCCTTGCCTTAGCTCACTCACTACCTACCCGACCTCCTCCAACACGTCTGACCTGGGAACCACCAGCCATCGATCCCATCGTCGAAACCCAGACGCTTCACAATCCTCACCGTTGAACATCCTCGCCAACTGCTCGATTGCGTGTCGCTCCATCAAATCCTCGCCCTGCACCACTGCCCTGACTATCCTCCAAACTCAATTCCGCATCCAGACCACACACCCCTACGCCAAATACACCGCTTCCCCTCCACTCACCCACGCACACACCCTTTACTCTGGTCGGACGACGTCGATCCTGCTGCTCGACTTGACTCGACCCAGAGCTCGCCGCTCTGCGACTCGGCGTCGCAACCTCCCCCCCCAAACTCTCGACGACGAACAACTCGCATCGACTCTATTCCTCAACCATCAACCCAAACTCCTCCTGCTGACTCCTCCCATTCTCGACGACACAACCAGCGCCCAGTGCGTCTCGACCTGATTGAACCCCCCCCCTTTCGGGCTGCTTCCACCGCCCGCCAAGACAACAACGCTGCCCTCCGTGCGCGAAACCTCCCTCAGCCCAACCTGCGCGCTCACATGAGCCTTGCGCTTCCTCTACAAAATGGCACTCCGTTACACAACCGAGCTCCTCTTCCACCTCCGCCAGTCGCCACTATGCACCAAGCCCGCCAGCCTTCCTCCCGCTGAGGATTGGATGGGGTGAGTGACGATGCGTTCTACGTCCATCTCAACACGATCAAAACTGACCGTCACCCAAGCCCTCCTCCAGATAACACACGTACCCAGACCAAGACTACCGCCGACAGGCGATCCCACGATGCCTCCCTCCTTGACCAGACAAACAGGCGCCCGGGTGTTGAGCGCCACATGTCCCGAAACAGCGCAAGTACGTCACACCCTCTACGCTCACAACTCTCCGTGCAACAGCGCAGCGCTAACGAAGTGTACACAGACCCGGAAGACATTATACTCGGACCTCCTCGAACCTCCTTTGCCTCTGCCGGCGGTCTCCGCAACAGCGGCACCGCCACTGGCACCCGACCCTTTGACGCCGACAAGGACTCCAAAGAGCCCGACGCCCGCGATCGCTTCAACTTTCGCAACAGTCGCAATGGCGACTCGGAACTCGGCGACCGGTTCCGCGACTCGAGGAACAGCAACTTTCGCCGCCGCGGGGATGGCGACCAAGATACCGAGGGCTGGAGCACCGTCAAGCCTCGCAAGAGTTTCGGCGCCGAAGGCGCTGAACGCTTCCAAGGTCGCATGGGTGGTGGCGACCGCTTCACGAGCGATCGCAAGCCCCGCGAGAGGGACGATCACGACGCTGCAAGGGACAGGCCGCGCCGTACGTTCGACAACCACGGCAAGGACGCCGAAGTCGATGAATCTCTCGAACCTCGTACCCGAAACGGCCTGAGCCGTGGCAAGTCGGACCCTTGGTTCAAGAATGAGCCTGTCGAGAAGCCGCAGATGACGGCACGTGAGCGCATCGATCGCGCCAAGAGCTGGAGAGACAAGAACCAGGATGCCGAGCCGGCTCCCGAACCCCGGTCGACTGGCCGCAACTACGATCGCCGCTGGGACCGCGACCAGCGCAACGAACGCGACCCGGAGTGGATGGATGAGCCTGCTGCCGACAAGCAGGAGCGCCACACGGAGGAGGACTTTAAGAAGTTCATGGAGAGCATGAAGGGCCAAAAGGCCGCCGCCGCCGCTGCCGCTGCCTCCGACAAGCCTGTCGCTGCGACTGCGACTGCGTTGGAGGCCGCGGTCAAGGCCGAGCAGCCTGCTGTTGCGGCTGCGCCCGTCGAGACGGGGCCCGACAAGTTCTTCATGGCTTTCGCTTCCACTGGAGGCCTGGACTCACCCAGCGAACAGAAGGAGGCCACGCCCAAGCCCAGTCGGGCTGGCGGTGGCAAATCCTCTCGCTTTACTTCCTTCTTCAGCGCGCCGCACGAGGACGCGAGCGCCCGTCACCAACCGGAGCCTCCTGCGCCGCCCCCAGGCCTGCCCATCATGGGCGGCAACGCCATCATGAGCGCCGGCACCCCGAACGCGGAGAAGGAGGCCTTCGCCGTGCTGCTGCAGAAGCTTCAGCGCTCTAACGTGAATGAGGGCTCGACACCGCCAGCCGCCCAGCTCTTCCAGAAGCCCCCCCATGAGCCATCGCCCGGAGGGCCGATTCAGTCGCCCGGCCCCTTCCAACAATACGGACCTCCTGAGCATCGCGAAGACCCGCGCATCCGTCACCAGCATCCTATGCCGCCACAGGACGTTCCCGTGCCTCGACCCATGTTGGCCACCCAGCAGTCGGCGAGCCACCAGGACAAGATGCTGCAGGATCTTCTCGCTCAGCGCCAGCTTGCCTCCAGCCAAGGATCTGGCAGGGCTGAGGGCGGCCCCCATCCTCAGATGCGGAACAACAGCAACGCCGAGTTCTTGATGAATCTCATGAGGGCGCAGCCTGAGCCTGTCCGCACCGAACAGATGCTCATGCGCATGCACCAGCAGCCGCAACCCCAGGGTCAGCGGAACGCCTCGATCTCGCACCTCCAAGATCGCGAGCCCAGCTTCTCCCCGACCGGCGCCCGCGAGGCGCGGTCCATGCGAGGTCCTCCTCCCGGCTTCATGGAAGAAGGTTTCCACCACGAGCCCGAGGGTCGCCCGCAGCCGACGCAGATCTTGCAGCGTCCTCCGCCGCCTCCTGGGCTCGACCAGATGAACCCCAACTGGATGCAGCAGGGTGGCCCGATGCCCCCTCAACAACGTAACATGGGCCCTCCCCCTGGCCTCGCAGGCGGCCCTGGTGGTCCTGGCGGCCCAGGCGGCCCCGTCGGCCCTGGCCGCAACCACCCCATGGCAGGCATGTTCCCTCCGGGTCCCAACTTCCCACCGGGCGGCTTCCCCCCGCCTGAGAGCATGGCTGGCCCGCCTCCGCGCAACATGCAGCCTCCTCCAGGATTTTTCGGAGGCCCCCCGCCGCCCGGCTTCATGCCGCCCCCCGGTATGGGCGTACCCGGTTTCCAAGGCCCAGGACCCGAGGGCCACGGATTTCCCTTTGACGGGCGCGGCTTGCCTCCTCCCGGCGCCGCCCAAGCCTTCCGCAGGCAGTAAATGCCTTCTCTGAAGGTTTTTCGGAGGTCATAATCATATTCGAGAGGCATGACACACCATCATGCCAACACACCATCATGCCCATGACACTACATTCAAAACCTCACCCTTTCTCTCACTCTCTCTATCAAATACTGTCAAAACAAAAAATGGCAGGCGTTCACACATAACTGCCTCAACCATGGCTCTGTGAACGTTGGTCTGGAACCCAACCGGCACGTTTGCCGCGTTTCACTCACGAAGTGTCGGCCGAGACAGCGCTGTTCTTGGCCGGTCAGTCTGTATAACGATCTCAAGTAGCGGCTTGACGCCGATGAACAACCTTGTTTGGGACATGTTGGGGTAATGACGAGGCAGACCTATGGAGGGGCTACGGGGGTTCTGATCTCACCGTAGACATGAATGATGAATGGATGTATTGCTCCGATTTTTTGCGTTTCTGTGATTGATGTGAGTGACTGAGTGCAGGTCCCGTGGTCGACATTTGGAGGATTGTTGGCCTTTGCAATTTTCAGACATGGCCGCTGGATCTCGACGTCGTCAGATCATCTGCATGCTGGGGAAGTGCTGATACTGACCGTCTCTCTCTCGATCACCCGTCACCCAGCAACACAACACTCCTTCCATCCGAAGAAAGCATACACCACGCGCAACGCCAACACGGCTCTCAGGCATCCAACAAAAAAAACAAAGAGCCACGGCCCGCGCCCTGCCCTTGATCAACGCACCGAAAGTCTCGGCCTGGCGGCTGGGAGCTGTAGGCACAGTGGTACTGCAACAGCTTCCGTGTAGTCTAGAGTGACAGACACCAGGGGCAGCCCGGCTTCCTCACTTTTTTCTTGTCCGGAGGCTCGGCTTCGAGACGTGCGTTTGCGTTTTTGGTGAAGCTTTTTTTTTTCTTTTTTCGTATTCACGGTATTTTACGCGTCTCTGTATGAAAAAGGCACTTTGCCGAATCGAATATATATATATCATCGAGCCTCAACATCTGTGCTACCAGTCATGTCACGGCAGAGCATATGCACGACACAGGCAGCTGACGATATGCAATGTCCTATTCAGTCCCAGCTGCCGTGCCGGGAACCACACCAGGCCCTGCACCCTCCCCTCCCTGCCCGCAACGCCAGGACGCCAACGCTAAACGGAGCAAAGCCATCTAACCACGAAACAAGCCGCCGCCCGCTACCCGGAGCCCCTTTCTGTCGCCGACGGCGTTCTAATCTTTGGACGACTTTTTCATGCCCAGGAAGTTGCGCTTCTTCTTCTCCTTCTCGGGCTTGCCCGCAGGGGCCGGCGCCGGCGATGCCGACGGCGACGGGCGGCCGCCGTTGCTGGGGCTGGCCATGTGTTGTGGCGGGCGCGCGGGGCCGCCAAGCGACATGTTGCTCATCTGCGCCGTGGGCGGCGCCTGCGGCCGGCCGGGCAGGCCACCGGCGGGTGGAGGCGGTCTGCGGCCCTGTTGCGCTGCGGCGGCACCTTGCTGCGCGGACGGAGGGGCGCGAGGGCCGGGGGGCGCGCCCATCTGCTGCTGCTGCTGCTGCTGGGGTGGCGGCGCGGGACGCTCGTGGATCCAGTCGGGGGCGCGGGGCTTGGGCCTGTCGGCGGGGAGGTCGAGGCGGCCGCGGCCCTTGTCGAGATCGCGGAGCTGACGGATGAATAGGTTGGGGCTAAGCATGTGCGATGTCGCCAGGAAAATATCCCTCGACCGCGCGGCGCCGATATCGTAGCACACGCGGCTCTCGCTGAAGGTGGCGCCGCCCGCAAGGAAGACGATCACACGTTGCCGGTTTTCGGGAGCTTTCCGGCCCGACGCGGCCCAGTTGGGACGGCCGGCACGGAGCGACCCCTGCTGCGCGGCGATGAGGTCTTCGTTGGGGTCCATGGGCGGCTTCATATAAGGGAACAGGTCGCCGCTGAGAGTGCCACGCACGACGTCTTCTAGGACTGACTGCAGGGCGGGCTCGAAGCGAGACAGGGCGTATTCCTCGTTGACCTCGGGCGGCTTCGTGTTCTTGGGGAATGCGGGGGGGTGCGCACGGCGAGCCTCCTTCAGATTGTGCAAGACGCGGCCGCCCAGATGGGCAAGGTTTTTCACGACAACTGCTTCGTCCTTGGGCAGCTTGGCATGCTCGAGCAGCAGAGTAATGTCGTTCTCGATGACACCTTCGCGGTAGAGGATGTACAGTATGATGAGTCGCAGTCGATCGCTAGGTGTGATGGCCTGGTCATCCAATAATCGCACGACAGACTCGAGTATGTTCTTCGGCCGCCGATTGTCCTCGTCCATGCCTGTCGCCAGGCTCTGCTCCACAGAAGCCACGTCGGGGAGCTTGTACTGTTGGAAAAGGTTCATAGCATCCTGCGCCATGCTCATATGCAGCGAGAATGATTCCTTCTGCGCGGCGAACTCTTTCATGCCGCCCAGCATGTCGCGCAAGTTGTTGACGCTGCCAGGCCCGGTCTGCTCGTTGACAAAGGCAGGATTCGCCTCGAGGAACTTCTTAAAGTCGACCGTCATCCGCCCAATGGTGTCTTTCATATGCTGATGCCGGTAGTCTGTCCAGACCTTGTCCTTGTCTGTAATCTCGTAGTCAATCTCGGCCTCGTCGGGCGTGCCCTTGTCGGTGACGGTGTGGTACATGATCTTCTCGCCCTCGCGGATGGGCAGCAAGTCGTGCGCCATGGCTTGGTAGGTGAACTCGTGAACGAGAGGGGCTGTGATGTCCATGGACCGGTCTGTGATGATGAGGGTGCTCGCCGGTCTGTTCGTCTGTGGCGGGTAGTCTTGGTTCCAGTTCGCGTACGTGTCGAGCTCCTCCTGCACCATGCGCGCAAGATGCTCACACAGAACGCTGGCCTCGTGCATGGCATTCGCGGGTTTGTAGTACCGGACTCTGGGGTATTCTCCGAGCGTCACACAGACGCCGAGGATCTGAAATCTACCCGTTAGCGACAGTGCGCCGAAGGACGTCTGCTCTCTCGCCAGACCCTACCTTTTGCGCCAACCCCTGCAGGTGTTCCCGGATGAGGTCGTTGCATTCCGGGTTGTACAGGATCGGGAAGCTCCAGGGATCCCTGAAGGTGGCCAGGTTCGACTCGCGGGGGAAGAAGTCGATCGCAAGGGTTTCGAAGCAACGGATCATGCGCTTCCCAGGCGACTCGTCGATGCGGCGCCGCAGGCGTGGGTCGACGACGCCGGTCCACACAAGGAACGCATTCTGGTATCTTCGTCGGTCCAGGTCGGCAAGCAGGCATTCGATGACGTGGGGTTTGGGCGAGAGGATGTAAATGGCGTCCATGGTGGGGTTCATCTCCCTCTTCTTCTCGATATGCTCAATGTCTGTTCAGGGGCGTTAGGCTAGCTATGGCTATTGGGGGGGGGGGGGAGGGAGGCGAGGTCGGGTTCGGTCGCATACTGGCAACGTTGAGGTTGAGGACGTCATCTTCGGTAGCGACATTTTCAATCAGCTTGTTCGCGCTCTCGTCCACGACGAGGACCTTCCACTGCACAGGATCGTCTCGGTCAGTCTTGCATCTTGTCGTGTCTGGAGCGTGGAGGTTGGGTAAGGAAAGGGCTTGATGGCTTACGTCGCCTCGCGTGATGTTCTTGATGGTGCTGAGCAAGACTGGACGAATGGTTAGGCTTCTGCTCCCAGGCCGTCGGTGAAGCGGTGCACTCACGATCCCGCTGCTCCTGGATGATGGAAGGGCCGCCCATGGTAGCTTGCCTCTAGCCTCGTGCGTCACGAGAGCCCCGTGGAGGGAGATGATCAGGTAGGCTGCGTGGCTCGAATGCCTTGTCGCTGTAGCGGGTGTACAGAAAGAAGCAAGGTAGCGTCGGAGGGGAGAGAGCGAGAGGCGGTAGGTAGCAGGCCAGCGAGCGTGGTGGAATCGAGGTTCCCGTTACCTCCAGAGGGCGTCACCACTGTGAATGCTCCAGTGGGAGTTCAGGTTCCAGGTGTTAGCAGTCCAAGCCCACAGGTCCCGGTTCTGGCACGGTTCCATCTTGGGTCGGGTTTGGCTGGCGGGGTTTCAACTGTGGGCAGGCGGGAGCAGCGTGAGAGCTGTGCGGGTCGCAGCCGTGGTGGGGCACGTCTATGCGCCCCACCGACCCCTCGATATGCGGCTAACGGGTATTGAATTTGGGCGATCCACGGAGCACACCGCCGGAAGCACAGCAATGCAGACACCGCAAGCACAGCAGTGCAGACACCGCAAGCACAGCAGTGCAGGCACATCAAGCACAGCAGTGCAGGCACCTTACAGCAACAGGGTACTGACTCATGGGTAGGTATCTCAAAGTCTACCGCCCTCACCCTGTCCCTAGATACCTCTGCACATCCTCGCTGCCGTAGAACATTTCCCTGAGCTTCTCCCCCTTCTTCCTGTCTGCCTCGGCCTTTTGCCTGCTCTTCTTGGCGTCAAGCGTCACAGGCTTCTTCTTCTTCTCCACCCTGCCTTTGAAGTCCTTTGGCACGGCGAGGCCGAGCCCGAGCTTGTCGTCCTTGGGCTTTGTCTTCAAGGGATACTGTATACCCTGGCCTTCGCTGCCTAAGCCTTTCCGGGCATCTGGGTCCCAGCCGTGGGACGACAGATAGGTGAGGCCCATCCTCGCCCTGTCGAGAGCAGATGGAGGATGTGAGTGTGCCACGCAGACCTGGTGGGCGATGGATGCCTCATGTTTCCGTCTGGCGGTAGCAGATTGGCCGTCGGCCGCCTCGTCCAGCGACTCGGTTGGCTCGTCTTCTAGCAACGGTACATGACATACGGCACAGTTTGCTGGTTGTGGCGCAGATGTCGTCTGTGGCTTCTTCTCATCAGGCAGGACCAGGCTCATGTAGAGGTTACTGATGGAGGCGCCCGAATTCCCTGGCCTCGTGTCCTGTATCGTCGACAGGTCTGCGTCAGACGCCTTGACAAACTCGATGCGTTGTCGCCTGATGCCAGAGCCGAACGGCTTCTTGTGGTGTAGGGGCACCTCATACTCGTCGTCGTCGTAGTGCTCCTCATCTTCTGGATCCCTGACGGCCGCGTTCATCTCGGACCCGATCCTGACGGCCGATGGAGCCTGGCAGCCGGGCACACGAAGCAACAAGCGGTGATGGATGAGATGCAGGGCGAGATGGCGATGATGTTGAGTCTGAGTTGGCCACCAGACCAATACCGCAGCCTTCCCTTGCTAGTGGTGTCAGCCTACCCACCAGTACCAGGCAAGCTAGGTAGGCACTTGGCGCTGAACGTCAGCACCCCGGCCCCTGCAAGATCCAGCAGCCTCGCCCCACCATGCCGCCGCCCTTCCGCGCCCCCCTGCCCCTGACTGAATTCGTTCGACTGCCGACCTTGAGCTTCCACCACATACATGCCTGCCACATCGTCAAGAGGCCTACCGACATCCCCCTCCCTTTTCGCCATGATACCGTAAAATCCAGCGCGTCCAGTCCCGACCCATCAGACTATGGCGATCGACCTCGTCTTCCACTTCCTCCGGGAAGGCCCACCCACCTGGGTCCGCGACAACATCTGGCTCATCGTCAAGACCGCCGCCACCCTCTTCGCCCTCTTCCTCGTCAAGGTGTGGTCCAATGGCGCCAGCAACACCTCCGAGCTCAAGATGCACGGCCGCGTCGTCATGGTCACGGGCGGAACCTCGGGAATAGGCGCCGCCACCGTCCTCGACCTCGCCAAGCGCGGCGCCCAGGTCGTCCTCCTCACCCACGCCCCCGTCTCCGACCCCTTCCTCGTCGAGTACATCAACGACGTGCGCGAGCAGACCAAGAACCACATGGTCTACGCCGAGCAGGTCGACCTCTCCTCGCTCCACAGCATCCGCCAGTTCGCCACGAAATGGATCGACAACGCGCCGCCGCGCCGCCTCGACATGATCCTCCTGTGCGCCGCCACCTTTACCCCCGCCGGCAAACCCCGCCAGGTGACCGACGAAGGCATCGAGCAGACGTGGATGGTCAACTACCTCGCCAACTTTCACCTGCTCGGCATCCTGAGCCCTGCCCTCCGCGCCCAGCCCTTCGACCGCGACGTCCGCGTCGTCTTCGTCACGTGCCCCTCCTACATCGGCTCGCCGCCGCTGTCCGCGCCCCTCGACGACAAGAGCTGGACGACGGGCGCCGCCTACAGGCGTAGCAAGCTGGCGCTGACGACCTTTGGCCTCGCCTTCCAGAAGCACCTCGACGCCTACAAGCGGCCCGACGGCCTGCCCATGAACTCGCGCGTCATCTTTGTCGACCCCGGCCTCACGCGCACGCCGGGCATGCGCCGCTGGCTCACGCGCGGCACCCTCTGGGGCCTCTTCGTCTACCTCGCCACCTACCTCCTGCCGTGGCTGCTCCTCAAGAGCCCCGAGCAGGGCGCCCAGTCCATCCTGCACGCTGTCATGGAATCGGGCATGCGTCGGGGCCCCGGTGGCAAGCTGGTCAAGGAGTGTCGGGAGGTCGACTTTGCCCGGAACGACGTGCATGACGAGGCGGCGGCCAAGCAGCTCTGGGAAGAGAGCGACAAGCTGATCGAAAAGGCGGAGAAGGACGCCGCCATTGTGAGGGCGAGGAACAAGAAGCAGACGGAGGACAAGGGCAAGAGGGAGGAGGAGGCGGAGAAGGAGAAGGAGATCGAAGAGCTAGTCAACAGCATCAAGAAGGGAAAGGAGGCGCAAAAAGCCAAACAGAAAAAGAGCGGTGTCGACGAAAAGCCCAAGGGCAAGAAGAAGTCCAAAAAAGCGGACAGCTGATTCGGCTCAACGCAGTGCCATCAGCATTATTAGGTATGTACAGAATAGATGGATCCATGGTAGGTTGAGGAGCTGGTATCTTTTCTGCAATGGCTCACGCAAGATGCATAGATATTGGATAGATCACAGGCGTACTTTATTAAAAAGAGCATCACTCTACGTTATTCAACCTCGTTCAAATCATACCGAGTGACGTTTCCCAGATTCAGCGTCAACTCGCTGCAGTCAACATGCCCGTTCCCTCATGGCAATCAATGTACTCGAAACGTTGCTGCTCCGGCTCCAGTACCAACACCTCGTGGAACAGCCGCAGGCTCATGCTATCCCCAAGCTTCTTGGCATATCTGGAAAACCCGGCAAATATCTCGAGATGGGTGCGGTGCTCTTTGCTCCACTTCTCAAGCGATGCCAGGCTGTCAAAATACGCCAGCCCAAAGGTCTGATCCGTGCCGCCCTTCTGCGTCACGGGATCGACAATCTCCATGAACCGACAGCTGAAGCAACCGACTTGGTCGCCTTGGTCGCGGAGAAAGTCCATCCCCTTGACCAGCACGGGGTGCATCGTGTCCAGATACAGTTGCCGCTCCCCAGGCGCGGCGACGGACCAGTCCTGCCCGGAGCGGATGACGACGAGGTTCTTCTTCCCCGGCACAACGCGGCGTCCGGTGGCAGATGGTGGGGCGGGCGTCTCGTTTCGTGGATGGATGTGGCTTGTCTCGCCGACGAGGGCATCGGTTTGCGAAACGGGGAACCGAGCGCGCATGCTGCCCCAGTAGACGTGCTCCTGGATCGGGCCGCTCATCGTCTCGCGCAGGTTCGCTGCCCCTTGAGGGACCTCTGTGGTGATGACGGTTTCGAAACGGTCCATGGTCGGGTAGAAGACTTCCAGGAACCAGCCATGCTGGTGGGTGCCTGGTGTCAACTCGTCCCACCACCGGCCGAAGCCGCTTGTGGCGAGCCACTCGTCGTGGTTCGCCTTGCTCTTCCAGTAGAGCAAGACGGCAATGTTGAAGTGCCCCTGGTTATCCGTAACCGCGGCGACTTCGTGGAACCCGGGTCGTGAACTCGGACTGCTCAGGTTGATGAACGATGAAATAGTCTTGATGGCGTTCCCATCGTTCAGCGACGCCGATGGGTATTGTGCACCAACAACAGCCAAAACGAGGTCTTTGGTGGTCCTGGGGAACCGGGAGGTGTAGAGTTCAAAAGGAGGGTCAAAGTTGGTGGGCATGTTGGGGGGAATCGTACGTTCCCTCACAAGCCATTCAGGGATTGCAGATTCGACCTTCATGTTGAGTGCCAGTTAAGGAGAGTGATACGACATAGAGCCCTGTCGTGTGATTTCATACTGCGCAATGAAGGCTCTTGCTATCATATGTACTTTGCCCTCGCCACACCCCAGACACCCAACTTGACCGCCATGATCACAGCGAACGAGCAGCGTCACGATACGCCAGCGTCGCGACGACTTGTTGAAAGTGCCAATGCGACGTCACGATTATCTTTGGCTCGATTGAGTCAAGCTCAAATCGGGAAACACACTGTTGTTGATCAGGGTAGTGCTCACCCGGACGTAGCTCTTGGGCTGGGACGCCGTCCCCCGCAATCCTGGGGTGCAGATCATGGGGTCGGATAGGGTAGTCAATACCCGGCACATCATCAGTGCTGCATGACCGATAGACGATGAGACCTCGCACCGCTCATCTCTGGGCCATCATCCTGTGTCGAACCGACCCGGCGGTCCGGTGTCTCAAAACAGGACCATATGGGTTGAGAGAGGGCGCATCAGAGGATAGGGTATTTCCATCCCGGGTGTGCCTGGTGTCAAGGGCAGGGTAATGCTTGTCCGAAGATGCGGCAAACAGCAATGGGATAGAGTCAAAGCAATGTTCTGAAGAATTTCGTGGTCCTGTTAGGATTCTGCAAAGTAGAAAAGGACAGTCTTTCGCTGTCAGTCCCAACTGAAAATACCATGACTTGCCATCATAGACATCAGAACCCAAACCCACAACATCAAACCCTCATTCTCCCAGCACAATGGCCCCCAAGCTCAAGATTGCCGCTATCCAGGCCGAACCTGCGTGGAACGATCTCGAAGGTGGCGTGAACAAGTCCATCGCACTTATACAAGAGGCGGCCCAACAGGGTGCCAATGTCATTGGCTTTCCCGAGGTCTTCATTCCCGGTTACCCTTGGTGAGTCCAAACAACGCATCACTATGGCCTCTAGGTATTTTATTGAGCTTTTCTGACCTGTCATGGCAAAGGAGCATCTGGGCTCAGTCTCCCACTGACAATGCTGCGTTTATGGATGAATACTTCCACAACTCTCTCGTCAAGGACTCGGACGAGATGAGGCGCATCTGTGCTGCGGTCAAAGAAGCCGGCGCTTTCGTCGTGCTCGGATACAGCGAGCGCTTCAAGGGCACGCTCTACATTGCCCAGGTATGCTACAGCCGGTGCATATAACATAGTGGTGCAGGAGGCCCAGAAGCTTATAGTTTGATCCAGTCTTTCATCGACGAGAACGGCGTCATCGTTCACCACCGCCGCAAGATTAAGCCCACTCACGTCGAGCGCGCCTACTGGGGCGATGGGCAAGGCGAGTCGCTTCAAACAGTCGCGCCCAGCACGACTTTCCCTGACGTCAACATTGGTGGCCTCAACTGCTGGGAGCACACCCAGACTCTCTTGCGGTACTACGAGTATGAGCAGAATGTTGATCTGCACGTGTCCAGCTGGCCGCCGATTTGGCCGCAACCCCTTCTGCCGAACGGCGAGCAGAGTCCCGACTGGCCGGCTCATATTACGGACGAGATGTGTCTGCGGTTCTCACAGATTGTCGCCCTCGAGGGCACCTGCTTCGTCATGGTGAGCACGCAGATTGTTCGCGAGGAATCAAAGAAGCGCTGCCGGATCGACAAGTTCGACTACGCCAGCGCCGTCCAGCAGGGCGACGGCGGCGGCTTCAGCATGATCTACTCACCTTGGGGCCAGGAGCTTGCGAAGCGTCTGCCGCCTGGCGAGGAGGGCATCCTGTACGCCGACGTTGATCTCGCGGAGAAGACCAAGGCGAAGCAGAACCTGGACATCGTTGGGCACTACTGCCGGCCTGACCAGTTGAGCCTCCGTGTCAACAAGTACCCCGCCAGGCCCGTTCACTACGCGGCGGACCCTTGAGGACCTCAAAGAGTCGTCCTGATAGCCGGTCCGGGCGGACCTGTCATGTTCGCTCGAGTGAGGGGTGGTGCTGATCGGGATGCCAAATCCAAGCTTTCCAGCAGGGACAAGCCTAGTCCAGGGTCTTGATAAGCGGATCGGCCGATTGGCCTCGTCCTGATTGCCCCTCAGCGCTGCCGTCAAAACTAGCCTAGTACAATAATCCAACCCACATTAGTGTCTCTTGATGGGCAATCAGTATAACATGACGGGTCGCTGCGGCGGGTTCAACTGTGCGGAGTCGTGATTGATTCCTCGCGCTCTCAACATCATGTTCGTTCATCGTATGCTTCACATGTGGTTGTTGAGCTGATCCTCATGACCCGATGGCGAGGGCTCCAGCGTCCTCTCAGCTAAGCGACGAGAAAAAGAGGCAACGGGTTTCGCTCGCATGTCTCACTTGCCGAAGCAAGCACATTCGAGTAAGGCGCCAGCAGCCGGAGATACCCAAGATGCCTTCAAGTACCTGGCAAAGGTCTTTCGCTGACCCCAGCGCGGATGAAGTGCGATGGCGTACAGCCAGTCTGCGGCTTCTGTCAGCGGAATAGGACTGAGTGTAATTTTGCGCACGAGGAGAACAAGCGCAGGTCCGTGTGCAGCTCAGGAGATCGTACTCCTCATCTGGTGTGCTGACAAGTTTATGTTCGACCCATCTTCCAGACCTCCGAGCAAGAAGTTTGTTGAATCGCTGCAAGCGAGGATACGTCACCTCGAAGAGCAGCTAGCAGCAGCCGAGTCTCGAGCAACTGCCGAAGTTCCATCTTGTGACACCATCAACGACACCACAGACGTCCAGTCGGATCTCACTGCGCCCAACGAAGATGGAGAGGACCCCCTTTCCAACATCACTGCCCTAGTGGGACGCCTCAACGTCGCAGACGACGGCCAACTCCATTACTTCGGGTCACAAAGCTCATACAATCTCCTCAAAAAGCATGCCGATGATGTGGCCTCTCTGGAGCCGTCTTTGAAAATGCAAAGACAGGGCTTAGCTGCCGCTGCGCAGCTCGACAAACTCGTCGCCATCCCCGCTGAGCTTCAGCAGCACCTCCTAGAGCTCTACTGGCAGTGGCAGAATCCTTGGAACTATGTGATCCACAAGGGCGCCTTCATGAAGAGCTTTAGAGGTGAGGATGATGGCCGACACTGTTCTCCTCTTCTGCTGTCCTCCATCTTCGCTATTGCCGCTAGATATTCGGATCGAGCCGAACTGCGTTCGATACCGGATGATCCAAGCACGGCTGGTGACGCCTTTTGTGACCAAGCCAAGATTCTGCTTCTTTATGAAAGCGAGGCGCCAACCATCACTACGGTCCAGGCCGCGTGCATCTTGGCGCTTCGCATCATGTCAGATGGCAAGGAAGCTCTCGGCTGGCTCTATGCAGGTATGTTGTGCGAGTGACTTATATAGCACGGCGAGACGTCGATCACAAGGACTGATAATATGCAAAAGGCAATGCTACGAGAATGGCTCACAACCTTGGCCTCCATGTTGATCTGTCCGATTGGACGTCCAATACGCCCATGTCCCCAGAGGAAGTTGAGGCGAGAAAGGTCACATGGTGGGGGTGCTATGTGGTAGACAAGTGAGTCTGCTCTCCTTCGGCTCGCTTTGTTGAGTACCTTCGCTGATCATCCAGACTCTTCGCCCTCGGTCTGGGACGCCCTAGCAGTACCCCCAAAATGAGTATCACCTGTTCCAAGCTCAGAACTGACGGTGACGAAGAATACACACCCTGGGTGCCTCCATACACTTCGTCCGCTGGACTTTCATCCTTAGGTGTTCACTCTCGCATTCCATCAAATGCTTCTCATCTCTCGGACACAATGACGATTGCCTGCGAGGCAATGGACGCCATGTACGAACCACGCTCAAACGCACGCTTGCATGTCTGACGTGTTCCAGTTATGCTCCAAATAGCAAGCTTTCGTCCCATGAAATGGAGGTCATCGTTACGAAGGCAGACGTGGAGTTGAGGTCACATTACGGAGCGTTGCCCACTTACCTCCGGCTGACTGCTTCAACGCAAACGCCTATGCTGCCTCATGTTTGTCTTTATCAGTGGGTCCACCAAATGCTGTCTATTTGTCTCGGCGACAAGTGGAACGACCTCGTCGTGGTACGGCAAAGGTGCTGACGGGTATGCACAGCGTGCAGTATCATGCACATCTAATCCTCCTTCACAGGCCTCTTATGCAAAGACGAAACAGAACTATACGAAGGGCTAGTGACAATACTGTAGACCATGAGCCTGCCACCAGCACTCACGGGGGCGAAGACAACGAGCATGCAGCAGCGTGTAGACATTCCGCGACAGAAATCACAAGGCTGCTTCGACTATACAAGCAGCATTATACTCTGGTATGTCATCTGCACCACCCGTGGCACCCCATGAAGAGGGGGACCCTCGATGAGACTGACACGATATGAAGCGCCGCATTCCCATCGCAGCCGTTCATCTATGTTTCTCCGCTGCTGTGATCCACCTCATCGACGCTCGGCCGTCAAGCCCAGCAAGACAACAGGCAATCAGACACCTACAGACATGTGTCGACGTCCTTGAAGACCTTCGGGTTCCATGGTGTATGTGGAGCGGCCGCGCAATCCGGGCCATACAGTTGCTGGCCTCAGAATGGTATCATTGCGAGGACTTGACCCAGTTACAGTCGTGCACCGAGTCCCCCAGCGCAAAAACTGGTGAGAATGGTGTGCCCACGATAGATGACGCAGCAAGAAGGGGACCTGGGCTCGGGATGCCTCCAGAGTTGGCGGGCCCAGGGAGCAGCGCCGGCCTGGTCGAGACGCCTTTTACGTACGATGCTTGCACCTCGGATCCATTCACGGATGGTCTCGTGAGGGAATGGCTGGCCGAAATAGGTTACGAAATGTAAAACATGCAAAGTGCAAATACTAAACGATAGAAATATTCTTCGCTTTACTTGAGACGCAGGCTTCAATAAGAAGACTGGAGCGCGAAGCTGTTGAACCAATATTAGGGGATTTCCTGGGACGGTGATCTCGATAGGGAATCACCGATATAGTGATCACCGTGGCCGCGGATTCATAGCTCCCAGGAGCACGTGAATCACAGCTTACGTGATCGGTGAATCAGATGGGTATATCTAATTCACGTGGGTAGTGGTAATTCAGAGAGAGAGCATCAATCACATCACAAGACTTATATCACCTACCCTATGTATTCAGAGCTCTCAGGCACAGCCAACGCAATGAATCAGGGTTCACGTAAGCAGTGAAGCCCTCTCGACAGAAGTACTACAATATTATTATCTTACGGCCTTAAGGCGAAAGTCACACTTGCTCTCGTGGAAACGTACACTTAAAAGGGTCATTAAATTATTATTTTGAGTGATCCATGAAATTTCCATTGTTCTAAAGAAGCACACTTGCAAGAGTCTGTCTACAAACAAGCTAAAGGCGCAGCGCCTAACTTTTCGCGCGTCTTTTGCTTCAGTAAGTAAGGTTTGTCAGAGGGATAAATCAAGCTTCGACTAAATCACTCTTGCAGAATAGCAATTTATTTCTCTTTTTTTTATTGGAAATGTTGTCGCTTTTATCTCTGAAGACTGCTCTCAAGAAGTCTCAGTCCATGTCGAGACTTGGCTTTCTGATCCTTCGCGCTGAGTGCCACGAGGAAGACGAGGAGAGAGAGGAACAAGCGGTCTCAGACACTGTGTAAAGGATATGAAGACGACAAGGAACCTGATTTCGAAAGTATCTATAGGTTCTGCTTAAGAGATGTTTTCGAGCTGGATTTGGTGAGAATCATGAGAGCACGTGACATAGCTTGAGGATAACAACTTGGGAATAAAACAGTAGCCTGCAGATACCAGAATCTACTATTTTGCTTTATTTGAACTAGAAAAAAGGGCTTGATTGAGTAACCTAAGCTTTTAATAAGGATGCAACCAACCATCGTCTTCAACAACTACTCACCATCGGAGAGGTTGAATTTGAGATGGCCAAGCGTTACAAGCCCCACTTCTGGCGATGAACCATTACGGAAATGACGACACAAGCCCGGGACGAAGAGAGCCAGACCTCGGCACTGCTCTCTCTATGTACCAACCTTGACTATCCTCTGCCTCGCATCTAGGAAGCAGCTGTCACGAATTTAAAGCATCGCATCGTTCACTTGGCCCATCACAAGCAACTCTGCGATCGCTTCACTCGCGTTTCATCAAAATGAACACGGTGAAGCCACAGGCCCAACCGCTGCCTTCGCTGCAGACCGCTTGGGAGCGACACACGCCGCAGCCCAACCCTGCCACCTGCCACCCCGTCTTCTTCTCGGAAAGGCTGCGAAGACCGCCCACCGTTCTCGGAGGTGTGGGCAGTTTCAGCCCTGTCGCACAGGGGTACATCTATCGCGACTCGGGGAGGGCTGACAGCGATGCTGTACCGAAGCTTTAGGAAACCCAGGAAGATCTCACTTTCGGCATGTACGGAGCGTTCTAGCCCCAGAAGCCTCCCAGCGATGAGAATGGCGGAATTCACGGCATCAACCCTCTTGCGCTCTCGGCCTTTCGCATTCATCATATATCCCAGCGTGCAAGAAGCGTAATCTTTGCAGGAGTGCGCAATGAGACGGGATGATTTGCTCCCACCTGGAACAAGTCCTTGCCACCTGCTTGGACACAGTCTTGAGTCATTCGACATCAAGGTCAAAGTCATTGGCATCAGCCTCTAGATCCCAAGGAGTGGGCGTCTGGGAGCTTGAGCTCCTTCAGTCAACCCAGGCATTTATCGGATGGTCAATGGTGATGATGACAACGGGCAAGGAGTCTTTCAAGCAAGATCTGGACTAAGCAGCACATGAAACTTTGGTATATACCCATCTTGTACTGGCAACAATACGTAGCGGTCAGAACTATTCCCTGTGGCGCTTTCCAACACCGCCAATTTTCGTGAAAAAAAAAGTATACTCGATAGTTAGTGCTTCGATCACCATGTGCAGCCTGGGATGTTATGCGCTACTGAAGATAGGAGCTATGCGCGTAGGTCTGTGAGAGACTACAAGGACAATTGGGGGTACTCGATTTCCGTCGAAAAGTGCGCCTTTGACAAAAGAAAAGAACGACGCTCGTGAGGCCAATTGAGCCGACGAGGCCAGGGTAGTGTACCATGTTACAAGCGCGAAACAAACACACACTCAGCGTGCGATCGCCATGCTGTCAAATTCCAAATGACTTTGCCCCAAAAAACAACCAGTCTGCCGCCTCGAGCTTCCCGTTTTACCCCCGCACGGCAATCACTATGACCGACAGGATGAGGATGATGACCAGCGCCAGCAGCGCCATGAGCTTGACGTTCTTCCACCACATCTTCCTCTTAAGACCCCGGCTGCGAACGCGGAACTCGCGCGCGCTTCCGCCCAGACGATCGGTCTTGTCGACGAGGAGGTCGATGCGCTCGCCGCGCTCGAGCAGCCCCTCAATGTTGCGCGTCATGATGCCCCTGACATCATCGATCTCGCGCTGGACGTTGTTGATGGCGTCGTCCTTGCCGCCGGACGTGGTGCCGTACTCGACCATGAGGCTCTTGAGCTCGCCATTGAAGGATGCGGCGCCGTAGTTGGGAAGATCGGCGTAGTCGGTCGTCTCAGGCGTCAGGCGGTCGAGGAAGCGGCGGCGGATCTCGAAGAGGAAGCCAAAGGGGATACGGCGGCCCAGGCTGGCGTCGGCGATGACGAGGAACGTCAGGCCGCCTGCCCCGGATGAAGGGTGGTCGGGGTGGTCAGACGGGGATTCGGCAATGTAGTGGATGTGGTGGGTGCCGTGGGTGTAGGTTAGCTTTTGGCTGGTCGAGTGCTCGATCTTGGGGAGGATGAGGGAGGCGAGGGACGACGTCTGGGAGGAAGCGGAAGTTGTGCATTCGGTAAGAATAGTATTATTGTGCGCGATGCAGGAGCTTGGCCTTGTTAGCAGACTGGAAGGGGGTCAGCGGACAAATGATTGCCATACTAAAGTAGCGGCGTCGCTGGTGATGAGGAGGAAGCCATCTTTGGGAGGAGTCGCACGCTTGCGTGCAGTATGTCGGTCCTGGGGACGTGGACAGAGTTTGTCACTTGGAGCGAAACAATTACTGCGCTTGAGGGCTGCGCAAGGGTTGATTGTTGGGTAGATCGGCAGTGTAAGGGCAGTGAGGCGTGTGGTGTTGATGGGCGATCCACGCCAGCGCACGATGAATGCGTGATGACGACCTACCGATGCTGGCTTGCCAAGACGCATGTCGGGTCAAGCCCCACTCTGGCCTGCCTTGAGCCTGATGACGCAGTTATCGATAACGCGCGCTCTCGATAGATGCTTAACAGATCCAAAATTTATGACCAGGGGAAAGCGAATCGCGACTGGACGTGTCTCGACGCCAGACTCTGTGCGTGGGTGAAAGGGACCAATTCACAAGACAAACAACTGAAGTCTCGGAAATGAGGTGTCAGTCTCCCATTAGACCGCCATGAAGTCAGTCTTGCGAGCCGTTGCCACGCGTGCAACGTGCAGCAAACCTGCCTTTCGCCATGGCTTTGCGACCACCTGCCGAGCGCCATTCCGGGTGAGTCGTGATATGCGTTGGATATCTTCAACGATGGCTGCTGATTCGCGATAGGAGGCCGCTGTGTACAATAGGAAAGGCGGTGTCAGCGCCGCTGCGTCGAAGAACAAGAAACGATACGAAGTCTTCCGGTCTATGGTCATAACACAGTTCAACAATGTTCTCGACGAATTCGGCAACTGGTCCGAATCCAACCAAGAACTTCGAAGCTTCGGCGTGCGTAGTGAACATGGACTGGCAAACGAAGCCGCACTCTTTCGAAAGGCCATCAGCGATGCCATAGCGATGGCTACGAACGGCAACGTCGCCAGGACGACAAATCCTCTCTTCTGGTCGCTGCGGGATGCTTTCATCCGAGGAGACGTCAAGGGGTTAACGTCGGAGATTCGGTACTCCTTCCAAAGCTTCATGATGCGGAGCCGCATGTCGGCGGATGTGACGAAGAGACAGAAGCAGATGGCTGACTTCCGCTACCCAATGGAATGGTTCCCGGCAACAAGAGCGTTGCAGCGGACAATACATCTCCACGTGGGCCCGACAAACTCTGGCAAAACATACCATGCGCTCAAGGCGCTGGAAAACGCCAAGTCGGGTATATACGGCGGCCCCTTGCGTTTGTTGGCCCACGAGGTATACGCTCGCTTCACCGCCAAGGGAAAGCCATGTGCCATGGTCACTGGCGAAGAGCAGCGGATTCCTGAGGGTGTCGACAACTACTTCATCAGCTGCACGGTCGAGATGACGCCGCTGAACCGTCTGGTAGATGTAGCCGTGATCGACGAGATCCAAATGATAGGTGATCCGGAACGCGGTTGGGCCTGGACACAGGCTCTCCTCGGCGTCATGGCCAAGGAGGTCCACCTCTGCGGCGAAGAGCGAGCAGTGGACCTTGTCAAGTCTATTTGTTCCGCCCTCGGCGACAAATGTGTGGTGCACAGGTACGAGAGGTTAAGTCCGCTTCAAACCATGAAGAAGAGTCTCAAGGGAGATTTGTCCAAACTGGAGAAGGGTGACGCCGTCGTCGCTTTCAGCCGAGTTGGCCTGCACGGTCTGAAGAAAGCCATCGAAGAGAAGACTGGAAAACGTTGCGCCATTGTCTATGGCTCTCTACCCCCTGAAACAAGGGCCCAGCAAGCGGCGCTCTTTAACGACCCTGACAACGAGTACGACTTCCTAGTGGCAAGTGATGCTATTGGCATGGGCTTGAATTTGGAAGTAAAGCGGATCATCTTCGAAACAGCAGCCAAGTTTGATGGTGTTAACTTCCGTGGTCTGTCAACGTCGGAGATCAAGCAGATTGGCGGCCGCGCTGGCCGATTCAGGTCAGCCCGCCAAGCAGCGACATCTGCTGACGGCGCCGAGACCCTGGTCGAGAAAAAGAATCCAGGCCTAGTTACAACACTGGACGCTCTTGATCTTCCCCGAGTCCAGGAAGCATTCACGCAACAGGCCGAACCACTGGAGGCTGCTTACATCAACCCTCCGGCATTTATCTTAGAACGGTTCTCAGAGTACCTGCCCCCTGACACGCCATTATCGTTCATGCTGCTGCGTATCCGTGAGCTGGCCAGGGTGTCGCCGATGTTTCTGGTCGATATTTCGAGCGACGCTCTCCGCGTAGCCGATATCATCCAGGAGTTTCCCCTGACCATTCACGAACGCCTCTCCATCCTCAACGCCCCCGTCCAGCTCAACGAACCCAGCGTTGTCCACCTGGTGCAGGCAGCCGCCAACTGTCTTGCCACGCGCCAGGGCGGTGCCCTCTACGACATGCAGGAAATTGACCTGGAAATCCTCGACGCGACGATCGCCGACTTTGACGGGGACGGCCGCCGCTACCTCCGCGCCATCGAGGTTCTCCACCACTCGGTCACGCTCTACCTCTGGCTGAGCTACCGCTTCCCCAACGTCTTCTCGAGCCAGGCGCTGGCGTTCCACGTCAAGGAACTCGTGCAGGCCAAGATTGAGCACCACCTGGACACGAATGTTTCGTTCCGAGCCGGGCAGCATGAGGCGATGCTTGCGAAGCGGCGCAAGGAGATCGACAAGCGTGAGCGCGAGCAGCAGCGGGTGTTTGGTGAGGCAAACAAAAAGGCCGCGATGGCTGGTGAGGAGGGGGCTGGGAAGTGGAATGAACCGGGACACGAGGAGCCGCTTGTGGAGGACAAAACAGAGTACGAGCAACTGGAAGAAGCTCGCCGCTAGATGCGAGGCGCTTCTGGCAAGAGTCCAGATTATGGGCCGAGTGTACAACAGTGTAAGATGCTTGGATGCACATTGGGATCATGTACAGCATAGATGGGCTAGGCGCGCTTCGTTGATTAAGCAGGACCATCAGAAGCCATGTACAAAACACAACTCAAAGAAGAAACATCAACTCAAGGCAAAAAGTCACCAAGCCAGCTAAAGACGAATCAAACATCCGGCGCCTTTATCAATTTTACCTTGAAATAGGTAGCTTGCTGGCAGACAAGATGAGAGGCACCATCGATAGGTAGGTAGGTAGGTAGATATCTTAGCTAGTACCAGTGCCAGCCAGGCAAGGGTCAAGCATAACGTCACCGCTGCAGGGGCCAAGGCAGCTACCGACCTACCCCACCATCCAACACCGCGGGGCACCTCAACTTCAGAGCTACCTACGCTTTCCCGCAACACCCTGCAACTCCAACATTTCGCATCAATCCATCGCGAACCTCTACCGCGTCACACTTCACAGCCGGAAAGACCTCTCACCACCGCGCCGCATCCGCGATCAAACAGCCCAGCATGGCCACCCCGAACCCCGACCCGCCGTCGACAGCCCCGGCCTTCATCCCCCTCGAGGCGAACCCTCAACTCATGACCACACTCCTCCACAAGCTCGGCCTCTCCTCCGCCCTCCAGATCCACGACGTCTACTCCCTCACAGACCCCGACCTCCTCGCCTTCATCCCCCGCCCCGCGCTCGCCCTGCTCCTCGTCTTCCCCGTCTCAGCAACCTACGAGTCCCACCGCCTCGCCGAGGACGCTCTGCTCGACGACTACAAGGGCCACGGCGACGGCGCCCCCGTCGTCTGGTTCCGTCAGACCATCCGCAACGCCTGCGGCCTCATGGGTCTCCTGCACGCCGTGGCCAACGGGCCGGCGCGGGACTACATCGGTCCGTCCTCCCGCCTGTTCCAGCCAGCCCAGCGTCTTCCCCTAACCCCCCCCCTCCCCCCGTTCGCCGCACCTGACGGACAGATTTCCGCTAACGCGCAGCAGAGGCCTCCTCCGACCTCGACACCCTCCTCCAGCAAGCCTTGCCCCTACACCCCGCCGAGCGCGCCGCCCTGCTGGAGAAGAGCACGGCGCTCGCCAACGCGCACCGCAGCGCCGCGTCACAGGGCGACACGTCGGCGCCCGAGGCCACGGATGACGTCGACCTGCACTACGTCTGCTTTGTCAAGACGACCGACGGGGCGTTCTGGGAGCTCGACGGACGGAGAAAGGGCCCGTTGCAGAGGGGCCAACTCGAGGAGAGCGAAGATGTCTTGAGCACGAAGGCGCTGACGCTGGGCCCGCTCAAGTTCCTCGAGCGGGAGGGGGCTGATTTGCGGTTCAGTGCCGTTGCTCTGGCGGGGGCTACTGACTAGGGGTTGCAGAGGACCGAAAGTAGCGGGCGATGCCTTGAATGAATAACGAGTGAGAATTCTATTAGGGCCAATAATACAGTCTATGGAATACCTGATAACAAGGAGCTACGGTTGGCGTCTCAGCTGTAGTGAGATCTAGGAACCTGAAGCAAGCCATAATTGATACAGCACCCGCGCGGCCTCATCTTCTTCCTCATCTGCATTTTTGATGGGACCAGGTGTCGTGGTAGGCTCTTCAGTCTCGGTCGCCGGCTGAGTTGTCTCAACTGCTTCCTTAGACACGTGAGATTGGTGAGACCCCTTCAATTGCCCCTGATCAAAGGACGCCGCATGGTGCGCAGATGAGCAAGACGATGGCGCAGAATCCGCAGCCGCAGCCGATGAGCAGACTCTCTGTGATGTCTTTGACCTTCTCCGATGAAGACAAGTTGGCACGCCGCTCTTTTCGCTGGTTGTGGGCATCGCGGATTCGTTGCTTGAGGGGCGGCTGGTGCCTGTCTGGGAGCTTTGGGCTGTTATCCGCGACTGGGTTGGGTACCGGGTTCGCGTCTGCGAGTTTTCTGTTGCGGACGGGGTTCTCGGAGGGCTTCTCGGCTGGAGTCGGGGCTGGGTTCGGCTGGGGGACGGGCTTCCGTTCATTGCTGTTCAGCTTGGCCTTGATATCGTGGGCCTGCTTGTTGACGTATGCGGCAGACTTGTCGAAGGACTTGCGCGTCGGGAGCCTTGTGCTGTTGATGCTTTCGCTGATGCTGCCTGGCCGGGCTTTCGAACCTGACGGGTTGGATCCCCCGTGCGGTTGAGGGTGTGCCTCTGGGACAACCTTTTCGGGCCAGGA